ACGAGAGATGGCCGCCTTGAGGAAGGAGAACCAGGATCTCAGACGAGTGAAGAAACCTTGTGTTGAGGAGAAGGATGCAGAGATGGCTGCTTTACTAAAGACCAACCAGGAGCTCCAACAACTGAACAAGAGTTTTACGGAGGAGAAAGAGGGAGAGGTGGTGGCTTTGATGAGGGAGAACCTGAAGGTGAAACTACAGACTCAGGGTTGTCTGGAGGAGAAGGAAGCAGAGATGGACGCCTTGAGAAAGGAAAACGGGGGAACTGGAAGAACTGATAGGACCGATGTGTCGAGGGAAAGATGGAGAGATAGCTGCTTTGAGAAAGGAAAACCAAACACTGAAACGAAGGAACGTTGTGAGGAGGAAGAGTTATTAGATCTGGGAGGCAACGCTGATGAAGATGAGGGTGAAGATGATGAGGGAGAAAGTGACTTAACGGAAGTCCACTTTAATTAGATTAATTTAGACGTCTGTAGGGTTTCCCTGGAGGGTTCGCCCGCGTTGTGACAGGATCTGGATTATTGGGACTTCCTTCATTCTGTTTGTCATGAAAAAAAATAAATGTAGTTTGAGGCGTTTTCACCTGGACGCTCAGGTTCCCAGCAATACATGGACTTTAAGCTAAAAAACTAAAAAATATATCATTAAATGTTAATATTTAACAATGTATTTAATACTAAAGATAATGTGCCACTATGTGATTTATTCTGAAAAATATCCCAAAAATAAATCTAAATTATTGAATTTATTGTTTGTAAATGTTTCATACTTTCATACTTCTCCTGTATGTAGTTGTCCTCTACTTTAAAGAGTCCTCTCCTGCTGATGTTCAGGTGTATATCAGTATGTAGTGTCTCTACTTTAAAGAGTCCTGTCCTGCTGATGTTCAGGTGGATATCAGGATGTAGTGTCTCTACTTTAAAGAGTCCTCGCCTGCTTGATGTTCAGGTGTATATCAGTAGGTAGTGTCTCTACTTTAAAGAGTCCTCTCCTGCTGAGTTCAGGTGTTATATCAGTATGTGAGTGTCTCTACTTTAAAGAGTCCTCTCCTGCTGATGTTCAGTGTATATCAGTATGTAGAGTCTCTGCTTTAAAGAGTCCTCTCCTGCTGATTTTCAGAGTGTATATCAGTATGTGTGTCTCTACTTTAAAGAGTCCTCTCCTGTTGATGTTAGGTGGATATCAGTATGTAGTGGTCTCTACTTTTAAAGAGTCCTCTCCTGCTGATGTTCAGGTGTATATCAGTATGTAGTGTCTCTACTTTAAGAGTCCTCTCCTGCTGATGATCAGGTGTATATCAGTATGTAGTGGTCTCTGCTTTTTAAAGAGTCCTCTCCTGCTGATGTCCAGGTGGTATATCAGTATGTAGTGTCTCTTACTTTAAAGAGTCCTCTCATGCTGATGTTCAGGTGTATATCAGTATGTAGTGTCTCTACTTTAAAGAGTCCTCTCCTGCTGATGTTCAGGTGTATATCGTATGTAGTGTCTCTACTTTAAAGAGTCCTCTCCTGCTGATGTTCAGGTGTATATCAGTATGTAGTGTCTCTACTTTAAAGAGTCCTCTCCTGCTGATGTTCAGGTGTATGTATATCAGTATGTAGTGTCTCTACTTTAAAGAGTCCTCTCCTGCTGATGTTCAGGTGTATATCAGTATGTAGTGTCTCTACTTTAAAGAGTCCTCTCCTGCTGATGTTCAGGTGTATATCAGTATGTAGTGTCTCTACTTTAAAGAGTCCTCTCCTGCTGATGTTCAGGTGTATATCAGTATGTAGTGTCTCTACTTTAAAGAGTCCTCTCCTGCTGATGTTCAGGTGTATATCAGTATGTAGTGTCTCTACTTTAAAGATTCCTATCTTGCTGATCTTCAGGTGTATATCAGTTTGTAGTGTCTCTACTTTAAAGAGTCCTCTCCTGCTGATGTTCAGGTGCATCATCAGTATGTAGTGTCTCTACTTTAAAGAGTCCTCTCCTGCTCTGATGGTCAGGTGTATATCAGTATGTAGTGTCTCTACTTTTAAAGAGTCCTCTCTTGCTGATGTTCAGGTGTATATTCAGTATGTAGTTTGTCTCTACTTAAAGAGTCCTCTCCTGCTGATGTTCAGGTGCATATCAGTATGTAGTGTCTCTACTTTAAAGAGTCCTCTCCTGCTGATGTTCAGGTGTATATCAGTATGTAGTGTCTCTACTTTAAAGAGTCCTCTCCTGCTGATGTTCAGGTGTATATCAGTATGTAGTGTCTCTACTTTAAAGAGTCCTCTCCTGCTGATGTTCAGGTGTATATCAGTATGTAGTGTCTCTCCTTTAAAGAGTCCTCTCCTGCTGATGTTCAGGTGTATATCAGTATGTAGTGTCTCTACTTTAAAGAGTCCTCTCCTGCTGATGTTCAGGTGTATATCAGTATGTAGTGTCTCTACTTTAAAGAGTCCTCTCCTGCTGATGTTCAGGTTCATATCAGTATGTAGTGTCTCCACTTTAAAGAGTCCTCTCCTGCTGATGTTCAGGTGTATATCAGTATGTAGTGTCTCTACTTTAAAGAGTCCTCTCCTGCTGATGTTCAGGTGTATATCAGTATGTAGTGTCTCTACTTTAAAGAGTCCTCTCCTGCTGATGTTCAGGTGTATATCAGTATGTAGTGTCTCTACTTTAAAGAGTTCTCTCCTGCTGATGTTCAGGTGTATATCAGTATGTAGTGTCTCTACTTTAAAGAGTCCTCTCCTGTTGATGTTCAGGTGTATATCAGTATGTAGTGTCTCTACTTTAAAGAGTCCTCTCCTGCTGATGTTCAGGTGTATATCAGTATGTAGTGTCTCTACTTTAAAGAGTCCTCTCCTGCTGATGTTCAGGTGTATATCAGTATGTAGTGTCTCTACTTTAAAGAGTCCTCTCCTGCTGATGTTCAGGTTCATATCAGTATGTAGTGTCTCCACTTTAAAGAGTCCTCTCTGCTGATGTTCAGGTGTATATCAGTATGTAGTGTCTCTACTTTAAAGAGTCCTCTCCTGCTGATGTTCAGGTGTATATCAGTATGTAGTGTCTCTACTTTAAAGAGTCCTCTCCTGCTGATGTTCAGGTGTATATCAGTATGTAGTGTCTCTACTTTAAAGAGTCCTCTCCTGCTGATGTTCAGGTGTATATCAGTATGTAGTGTCTCTACTTTAAAGAGTCCTCTCCTGCTGATGTTCAGGTGTATATCAGTATGTAGTGTCTCTACTTTAAAGAGTCCTCTCCTGCTGATGTTCAGGTTCATATCAGTATGTAGTGTCTCCACTTTAAAGAGTCCTCTCCTGCTGATGTTCAGGTGTATATCAGTATGTAGTGTCTCTACTTTAAAGAGTCCTCTCCTGCTGATGTTCAGGTGTATATCAGTATGTAGTGTCTCTACTTTAAAGAGTCCTCTCCTGCTGATGTTCAGGTGTATATCAGTATGTAGTGTCTCTACTTTAAAGAGTCCTCTCCTGCTGATGTTCAGGTGTATATCAGTATGTAGTGTCTCCACTTTAAAGAGTCATCAGTCATTATCATCACGTCTGACTCATGCATTGTAAACGAGGCGTTTGAGGACCCGATGAGTCTCTGATCTGATGGATCTGCAGACTGACTCCGTGCTGAAAGCTTTATATTCGATGAAGTCAATCAGCAGATAATGAGTCTGCACTAATTCTGATGATCGATTGTCATCAAAGTCCCTCGTGTCTCTTGATGGGAGCGTTTGCAGTTATTTAATGCAGTCATCAGTTTGAGGCGTTTGGCTTCTCTACCCACATGTTGGAAGGTTGTTTAAACTACATTACCCATGATCCTCAGCAGATGCTACCAAAACACGGTGAAGAGTTGAGAGAGTTACTTATTACAGATAACAGACATGTCAAAGGTTTTCATATCTTAATTCTGATCTATTCTGATAAACAATAGTACAGTGAAAACAGTGTAAACATTACATTTCGTTCCTATGTCAATAAAGGAATATCAAGAAAATGAACTCAAAAACTAAGAAAATGTTGCAGGAACTCAAAATATTGAAGTTAGTATTTATGTATGTATTTAGAGTTCACACTACTTAATCCGTTTCGGCTTCGTGTGGACGAACCGTCTATACGATAAAGAACTGTAGCAGAACTGAAATCGTCTCCGTGTGGACGGGGCCTTAAAGTATCCCCAACATGTGCTATCTAAATAGCTCACTGCCTCTCAAGGTACATTTGAGGTACAAGCTCTTCTTTTGTTTCTGTTAGTTTAAAAACCCGATTTGAATAATGACTTGAGACGATTGAAGCTCTGTCATTCACAGCAATATCCTCTTACAATCTGATATCAGTGTCTGGGTTTCAGATGCTCCCTCAGCCTCGATTGAAGACATATTTTAGGACTCAGAAATGTGTTCTCAGCCCAAAAGCATCGTCTGTCATCTCGCTGCTGTCTCCGTATCAGCTGCACAGCGTTCCTAAGAATAAGTGGATGATCAGCAGCGTTTTAATCTCAGAGAGAGCCTCTGATTACAGGATGCAGCGGGGGGGGTCTCAGTGTTTTAACGCTCCACTCCTTTAATGGATGGCAGTGTAATAATGTCTTCCTGTAACAAGCCATTTAACGGCAGAGCCACTAAGCTCTGTTTGATGCGCTCATAAAGTCCTTCAATCAGCAGAGAGAGAGAGACGCTCCTCCATCCATCGTAACCACATTATAACGTTAGAGAATAACTTCATTACAACGGGGTCCAGAGGAGAGACGCTGAGACGCTGAGTCTCCCCTTCAGATACTCATCAGATAACGAACCGCTCTGACCACGGAGATACTGTGAAGCAAAGAGACTCAGTCAGACGCTCTGATATCAGAGGGGGGGAGGTAGTGGCAAATCAATGTAAATATTAACATTATTTAGTCGTGCAAAAGAACGTAATTGCACGTTATCATAAAACATTATTAATAATAATAATATTGCACATGTTATATAGCAGCCAGTGTTATAATGATGGTGATGGCTGATGTTTGTCTCCTTCAGAGCCCATGTGCTTCGACTGGGGGGAGTCCAGTGATCAGGGGGTCTCTGTGCTGGAGGGGGAGGTGGGCTGGCTGTCCTGCCCTCTCTTCTCTCACCCCTCCGTCTACAACTACACCTCCACTCAGAGCACCGGACACAACCTGTTCTGGTACCGTCTGCCGGAGGGCCACGACCTGGAGCAGCCCCTCCCCTACAGGTACACACAGATATATCATTAGGTACCTTCAGTATTAAAGGTGGGGTAGGTAAGTTTGAGAAACCGGCTCCAGTGCGCTAGAATTTGAAAATACACAGCCGGAACAAATCTGCCACTTCCTTACAGAGCCCCTCCTCCAACACACACGAACGCGCACATGACCAATGAGGGCACGAGATAAGTTTGTGCACAGATGGAAGGCTGACAGGCAGGTAGGCCATCCAGTTATTTTAGCCGGGCCGGCTCAGATGATTGGTCGTGCTTTTTACAGTACTACTGCTTCCACAGATGATATTTATTAATGTATTCATTGTCAAAGCACTTCAGATATTCATTGCTATCGGGATGTTAAGAGCATTCCATGGAATATAACAAAAAGTGTATCTGAAGTGAATTACATACCCCACCTTTAACATCATGTAGTATTTCTGTTGGTCCCTGAAGGCAGCATGGAGAGCTCCCAGTTCAACAACAAAAACATTTCCCAAAATGAGGATTATTAAAGTACATCTTATTTATTTGATCTTATTACAATCTACCTAATGGTAGACTCCATCCATCTGATCACCCTCTGATGGTCCAGTCTGATCACCCTTGATGGTCCAGTCTGACACACCCTCTGATGGTCCAGTGATCATCCTCTGATGGTCCAGTCTGATCACCCTCTGATGGTCCAGTCTGATCACCCTCTGATGGTCCAGTCTGATCACCCTCTGATGGTCCAGTCTGATCACCCTCTGATGGTCCAGTCTGATCACCCTCTGATGGTCCAGTCTGATCCCTCTGATGGTCCAGTCTGATCACCCTCTGATGGTCCAGTCTGATCACCCTCTGATGGTCCAGTCTGATCACCCTCTGATGGTCCAGTCTGACCACCCTCTGATGGTCCAGTCTGATCACCCTCTGATGGTCCAGTCTGATCACCCTCTGATGGTCCAGTCTGATCACCCTCTGATGGTCCAGTCTGATCACCCTCTGATGGTCCAGTCTGATCACCCTCTGATGGTCCAGTCTGATCACCCTCTGATGGTCCAGGCTGATCACCCTCTGATGGTCCAGTCTGATCACCCTCTGATGGTCCAGTCTGATCACCCTCTGATGGTCCAGTCTGATCACCCTCTGATGGTCCAGTCTGATCACCCTCTGATGGTCCAGTCTGATCACCCTCTGATGGTCCAGTCTGATCACCCTCTGATGGTCCAGTCTGATCACCCTCTGATGGTCCAGTCTGACCACCCTCTGATGGTCCAGTCTGATCACCCTCTGATGGTCCAGTCTGATCACCCTCTGATGGTCCAGTCTGATCACCCTCTGATGGTCCAGTCTGATCACCCTTGATGGTCCAGTCTGATCACCCTCTGATGGTCCAGTCTGATCACCCTCTGATGGTCCAGGCTGATCACCCTCTGATGGTCCAGTCTGATCACCCTCTGATGGTCCAGTCTGATCACCCTCTGATGGTCCAGTCTGATCACCCTCTGATGGTCCAGTCTGATCACCCTCTGATGGTCCAGTCTGATCACCCTCTGATGGTCCAGTCTGATCACCCTCTGATGGTCCAGTCTGATCACCCTCTGATGGTCCAGTCTGATCACCCTCTGATGGTCCAGTCTGATCACCCTCTGATGGTCCAGTCTGATCACCCTCTGATGGTCCAGGCTGACCACCCTCTGATGGTCCAGTCTGATCACCTCTGATGGTCCAGTCTGATCACCCTCTGATGGTCCAGGCCAGACGTGTTTTATAACTGTGAAAAACCCCACAGTTACTCAGGAAGGTACAGAGACCAATGTAGGATTACATGACACTTATTATACAATTCCTCAGTATATATCTAATCTCATATCACAGTATTAATTATAATGATATGTTTCCCAGCCTTGGTCCACAGTAGGTACATTAAACCTTTCTTTCTCCTCCTTCAGCCTGTCGAGCGTCAGCATGGATTCTAACAGAGTGATTGAGACTCATTGAGCGAGTGTTGTAATGATTTCCCGTCAGACAGGATGCATGGAGGCTCGTTAGCGTCAGCAGCTAACATCAGTTCTGGTTCTGGTGTGTTTGTGCAGCTCCAGAATCAGCAGAGACGGAGTCAGACTGTGGCTCCAGCCGAGCGCGCGCCGACACCGGACTCTACATCTGCATGCTGAGGTGAGAGACATCATCACACCTTTAATTATCACTGTCATTAGCAGGTGAGAAACTCATGAAGAAACAATTAAAGGGCCCATGTCATGCTTTTCCACACACCACGCACATACTCACTCAGCCTAAGCTCCACACACACACTCACTCAGCCTAAGCTCCACACACACACTCACTCAGCCTGAGCTCCACACACATACTCACTCAGCCTGAGCTCCACACACACACTCACTCAGCCTGAGCTCCACACACACACTCACTCAGCCTAGCTCCACACACATACTCACTCAGCCTGAGCTCCACACACACACTCACTCGGCCTAAGCTCCACACACACACTCACTCAGCCTAAGCTCCACACACACACTCACTCAGCCTAAGCTCCACACACACACTCACTCAGCCTGAGCTCCACACACATACTCACTCAGCCTAAGCTCCACACACACACTCACTCGGCCTGAGCTCCACACACACACTCACTCGGCCTGAGCTCCACACACACTCACTCAGCCTGAGCTCCACACACACACTCACTCAGCCTGAGCTCCACACACACACTCACTCGGCCTAAGCTCCACACACACACTCACTCAGCCTAAGCTCCACACACACACACTCGGCCTGAGCTCCACACACACACTCACTCGGCCTAAGCTCCACACACACACTCACTCAGCCTGAGCTCCACACACACACTCACTCGGCCTGAGCTCCACACACACACTCACTCAGCCTGAGCTCCACACACACACTCACTCAGCCTGAGCTCCACACACACACTCACTCAGCCTGAGCTCCACGCACACACTCACTCAGCAGGAGCTCAGACCCCACGCAGCAACCAGGAACGACAGCAGTAACCCAGCTCACACTGTCCGCTCCTCGAGCCTCAGAGGGCGGAGCAGCGAGCCCCCCAACCCCCCAACACGGCCCCCAGACCCCACGCAGCATTCCCATCTGTTTGTCATTACTGGTGTCATTTCCTGGTTGCTAACAAACGCCATTGTAAAACATAATCACTGATGTTCTGCTGTAACGGTGGTGGACTCATCAGAACAGAGTGGGCGAGCTGACCAATCAGAGCACAGTGGGCTCACAGGGAGGGGGGGCAGGAGCTCCAACAAGGCGTGTAGGACAGAGAGTGAATACACAGACTATACAGAGATGCTGTATGAGAAACCAATGTGAGTTTTGGAACATTGAACAATGTACATGTATTCTAGTAGACCTCAACTATGGAACTATGATCAGTAGAAATGGCCGTGAGTCATGGGACCTTTAAGGAAAGTTAAGTAAATAAAATGAAATACAAATAAAATAAAGTAAAACTAATTAAATTAAATATATTAAAGTAGAACCATCGTTAAATTAAATTAACATTAAATTAATTTAATTAAATAAAACATTTGTATTTATTCATATAAACATGTTGATGAGGTATCTGTTTTAGTTAGTGTTAGTTTCAGAGTTAGTGAGTGAGACACAGACGTGGTTTATTTCCACAGCCCAGTGCGCTCTGCTTTCACTTCCTGTGCGGTCAGAACTCTCTTCCTGTTTCCTGTGTGACGCACTCAGCTCTCACGAGTAAAATGACTGAACACGTGGAACGTTTCTCTCCACTGTGACCTCATTCTGGAGCAACAGCGACACAACGCTGAGAGACTTTTATTTTGAAAGACAGAAAGGAAATGTCGTTTTTTTGTTATTGTGCAGTGAATAAATAACACATGGCTGTTCCAGAAGAGGCATGTTTTTCAGAATAAAGTCACTTTATTGTAACTAGTATCTCATGGTGATGTGATTTTTTCAAAAAAAGCCCCCCAGAGTTACTCTATCCTCACAGGAAGCTTAGGAGGGACATGTTTTTCAGAATAAAAGCCCCATAGAGTGTCTATGTCCTTACAGGAAGCTTAGGATGGGATGTGTTTTTCAGAATAAAAGCCCCACAGAGTTACTTTATCGTCACAGGAAGCTTAGGATGGGATGTGTTTTCAGAATAAATCACTTTTCTTTTCTATTCTAACTAGTATCTCAGATTGAGGCTTGTTTTCAAAATAAAAGCCCCATAGAGTAACTGAAGAGGCCCGTACTTTAACGTATACTTACAGAAAACGCCTGGTGAGGCTTGTTTTTCAAAATAAAAGCCCTAGAAAGTAACTGCTTCATTACAGCAACTCAGGTTCATACTTGTTCTTCAAAATAAAAGCCCCATACGATAACTGTTTACTTACAAATTCGCCTGGTGAGGCTTGTTTTTCCAAATAAAAGCCCTAGAAAGTGACTGCGGTAATAGAAAGCTCAGGTTTAGGCTTGTTTTTCAAAATAAAGACCTAGTAGTTGACATTGTGGTAACTGAAATCTCCGGTTTAGGCTTGTTTTTCAAAATAAAAGCCTCAGAAAGTAACTGCACCATTACAGGAGGCTTGGATTTATGCTTGTTTTTCAAAATAAAAGCCCATAGTTACTTTATGGAAGGAAGGATGGACCATGTTTTCATGTTTTCAGCTCAGATTTATGCTTGTTTTTCAAAATAAAAGCCCCAGAAAGCAGCAACACAGCTTCTGTTATTGTTACTGTCCGTCTCTCCACAGGAACAAGACGTCGTGCAGTAAGATGGCGATGCGTCTCTCCGTCCTGCGGCCCAGCGAGGTGCTCCGCGCCAACGACTGCGCCCCCCCGTCGCCTGGGAATCGACCCGGCAGGTCATCCCCTTCCAGAGGGGAGGGACCATGGACTGCCCCGACCTGAAGGAGGCCGGCAAGATGGCCGACACAACACAATCTCCGTCACCTGGTACAATGTGAGGGAAATAATAAAACCTAGTATTCAATGTTTACTTCAGATTAGCTCCACGTCAGAAATGAGCATGCTTGTCATATGCTATCTCCATAGAGGCTGAATCATCATGTTAATCACATAGCTATCATATGCCTCAAATGTTGATGTAGAAGAGACATGAAGAAGAGGGGACACATGTTGATGTAGAAGAGACATGAAGAAGAGGGGACACATGTTGATGAAGAAGAGACATGAAGAAGAGGGGACACATGTTGATGAAGAAGAGACATGAAGAAGAGGGGACACATTGATGTAGAAGAGACATGAAGAAGAGGGGACACATGGTGATGAAGAAGAGACATGAAGAAGAGGGGACACATGTTGATGAAGAAGAGACATGAAGAAGAGGGGACACATGTTGATGAAGAAGAGACATGAAGAAGAGGGGACACATGTTGATGTAGAAGAGACATGAAGAAGAGGGGACACAATGTGAGTAGAAGAGACATGAAGAAGAGGGGACACATGTTGATGAAGAAAGAGACATGAAGAAGAGGGGACACATGTTGATGAAGAAGAGACATGAAGAAGAGGGGACACATGTTGATGAAGAAGAGACATGAAGAAGAGGGGACACATGTTGATGAAGAAGAGACATGAAGAAGAGGGACACATGTTGATGAAGAAGAGACATGAAGAAGAGGGGACACATGGTGATGAAGAAGAGACATGAAGAAGAGGGGACACATGGTGATGAAGAAGAGACATGAAGAAGAGGGGACACATGTTGATGAAGAAGAGACATGAAGAAGAGGGGACACATGTTGATGTAGAGAAGACATTTTGCATAATAGGTGACTTTTTAAAGCTCAGTTTTTGAAACCCTGTGTCTCTGTGATGTCAGAAATGTAAGCGCCCCCCGTTCGTTGGGGGTAACCGGCAGGTGAAGGGCGTCAGCCTGAGGGTCCACATCATGATTGGGACCTACGAGGGTCTGTACTTCTGCACCGTGAGCTACCAGAGGAGAGGAAGACCCCTCAACTTCACTCGCAGCATCAACCTCAGCGCCGTCTGTGAGACACCTATACTACATATATACTGTATATATACTGTGTGTATTTATACTACATGTGTACACAAGTAGGAAGTGTTGGAGTACAAATACTTCGTTATTGTACTTAAGTACATGTTTCTGGTATCAGTACTTTACTCCACTACTTATTTGTTTATACTACATGTATATTTATACTACACTACATGTGTGTATTTATACTACATTTGTGTATATTTATACTACACTACATGTGTGTATTTATACTACATGTGTGTATATTTATACTACACTACATGTGTGTATTTACACTACATGTGTGTATTTACACCACATGTGTGTATTTATCCCACATGTGTGTATTTATACTACATGTGTGTATTTATACTACATGTGTGTATTTACACTACATGTGTGTATTTACACCACATGTGTGTATTTATCCCACATGTGTGTATTTATACTACATGTGTGTATTTATACTACATGTGTGTATTTATCCCACAGACCTAATGAAGAAGGTTAATAATGTGTTTCTCTCAGATCCGCCCGGTCTGCCCAAACATCCGACCATCTTGAACCCGGCTAAGGAGCAGATCTTCACGGTCAAACAGGGTGAGTGAAGCATGCAGCGTTGCATCATGGGAGTTGTAGTGTTCAGCTTCAGTGTGGCTCCTCCTCTCCTCGCGTATAAAGCAGTAAAAAGAGTTTCAGATTGTGGCTAACGCTAACGCTAGCTCCCCAAATCAGCAAAATGTCCTTTTTAAAATGTTTTGGAAACTCTAAATTATTCATAAATCATTTAGAATATTTCTAAACGTTGATGCATACCCATTGATTATCTCTCAACAGGCTAATTAGTTATTTTAATAAACACTATTTGTATAACATTTCGGCTAGTTTAATTTATAACAAACATATTTTATCAGCTATTGTGCTTTTTATGCAAAAATCACATTTTGTAAAGTATCTTAGGCCCCGCCCACACGGAGACGAAACCGAAGTCGAAACCGAAGTCGATTTCAAGAAAGTCTTCCGTCCACACGGAATCGGCTCAAGAAACGTGTCCGTCCACACGAGACCGCTCGACCCGCTGGAGACACTATAGCACATATGAAAATAGAGAGGGTTGTGTTTTCTGACACTTGGTGAGTTCCCTGGAACACCGGGGACACATATTCATGTAGAAAGTACTTAGTTATAATCCAGACTACAAGAGAGCAGCATATCCTTCAAATGAAGTACTGAGAGTGCTTCTAGTCCTATTTAGAGACAAAGGGTTTCTTTCTGCACTTCAGCCTCTAGTGGCCCAAACGAGTATTACAACAACATCAACACAATAATATATTTAAACAGTTTTTCCGAAGTCAATTAGTAAAAATGATCCTGCCAAAACTTAACCGGCCTCATGACTCCATCTCAAGGAACTAAGAGAGAGGATCCTGCAGAAACCTGACCTTATGTAACTTCCACAGAGTAGATCAATGATGCATCAAATAATTGTTAAATAGTCCGTAAAAACAGACTGCCTTGAAGGATAAACACAAATAGCAATTATTATAAACTGTATTGTTAATGTAATGTGTACGTAGACACAGTAAGACGTCAATTAGAAGCATATATTTATTCAGTAACATAAGATTCAGGTTCAAGGCTTTTCTTGTCATGTGTACAGAGCCACAGTGTAGATTCCAATCTGAGGCTCCTCCCACAGAGCACACAATACACACAGATCAAATAGTGCAAGGAGAGTCGATATACAAGTCATTGGAATATGATATATTAGATCAATAATTAGCACGATGCAAACAGATGAATGTTCTGGATGTTCTTTCTAAAGTCCTGGGGCCTCATTCATAAAGCTTTGCGTAGGATTGGCGTGGGAAGGTTGCTTACGTAGGACAAAGCAAATAAATACGCAGACATTTTCTGATTCATAAAAGACAGTGTACCGGCGCAGGACGTGCGTACGGCACTCCTACGCCGGTTTCCCTTTATAAATCACAATCAACTCGAAATGCGGCGCAGCTTTTGCGAGCTTCACGTAACGCCCAATGTGCCTATAAATAGTCAAGAAACGCCCATTCATCCAGCCATCCATCCATCCACATCTACCCCATCCACATCCATCCATCCA